CACTCTCTCACGCACGCACACTCTCACACGCACGCACACTCTCTCACTCACTCACACACACACACTCACTCACGCACACACACACACACACACACACACACACACACACACACACACACACGTTATCACAGAGGTTTAAGACTCTTCGTTTCCACTGAAACCTTGCTCAAAACAAGTGCGAGCCGTCACAAATCAGTGGGAATCTACGGTGAAATGATTTAACAGAACGGCAGCATGATGGAAAACGGAGCAACTCACAAATGAATGCTCTGAACTCATCTAGGACACATCAACTGAGTCAATAGCATGCAGGAATCAAACATTGTCCTAATTAGATGAAGCCGATGTAAAATGGGATGAACTTTACAACATAACAGTATTGAATATACACAAGCCTACTATTAAAACCGGGTTTTTGGTCTGTTTGCATTGAATGGTATGGCTGAAAATATTGATTTCTCCATTTGAATCAATCTTCATTTTGATATATTTTCTTAAATTCCAAGATCAAGCTTTTGGTCAGTTTTCAACAGATACATGAACAAAACTTCACTTACATTATTTGTAGCTCACCAGCAAATAATCTCAATAAGCTTTGTGCTCTGTTACTTCTGACATGAAACAAAGCCTCAGCTTTCAAATCTGCTGGAAGAAAAACTGGAAAGATGCCAATAAAACAACTTGCAATCAATGTCAGGTAACATTAAAAGCCATTCAATGTCCATAAACTTGTTAGTTAGCTAGAAAAATACTTGTAGAGAGGAACATTTTGTTAAATATATGCAATATATTATATATTCATCTTATCTTCAGTTAAACTGTTGATTCTGTATTACTGTTTTTATTATTGTAATTATAGTAATTTTTTATTTTTATTATTATATTATATTATATTATATTATATTATATAACATTTTTTATTCCTCACTTGAGCTCAAGGAGGTTCTGGTATGCGTTTCTGTTTGTTAATAAGTGAAAATCAATTTAAAAAAAAAAAAGAAAAAAGTTTATGACAGCCACAATTTAAATGTTTATATTTTAACACCAAATTGGATTAGAAACATAATTCTATCATTAAATATAAAAACTAATATGAAAAAAAATCACAACTTAATTTAAATATTTTTATACAATGTTGGTGTTAATCATATCTACAAATAAATAGCAATTAAATTTAACCTTTAATATCGATGTACTAACTGACAGGGTACTGTAGAGTTTACAGCTTAAGTTCAGAGATTGTGACTGACAAGCACATGTGTATGTATATATATATATACACTGATATCAAATGAAAATTGAATGGAATCAAGAGTTTGTGAATCAGAATCAAACTGATTCACAAAATCTGTATCAATCTCCAGCCCTACAGTGAACATCACCGCCATGATTTCATCATTAAACAATGTGACCGTCACGGTTCAGCAGCACTTTCAATGGCCAGACTCTGGTGTCACTCCAGGCTCTTCCCACCCCACGGGCAACTTCACACACCTGGGTGAGAACGAGCCGTCACAGGGTCCACTACACAAAACACCTGCTCACATCACACATGCGTCACTGGCTGTGTCGCGACTGCCATCGATGACTGTCAGAAGCCTATGGTTGCCTTGAGGTGGGGATTTTCTTTCACTTTTACTGCACTTTAGTCAAGACGAGTGGCGGGTTGATTCATTAAGAGAAAGCCTTGACGACAAGACTTACAGTAGCATAAACACTGATATGAAATATGTGCCTAATGAAAATTCAGAACGCTGATTTAAAGAAGTAGGAGTTTTCAAATAAATCCTTCTTTGCTTTTGATTCATCTGTGTTTCTTCATCAAAGCTCATTTTCCTGCACTTTATTATTCAGCCAAAAATGAACATTCTGTAATCATTTTACTCAGCCTCAAGTTGTTCCAAACCTGTACGAGTTTCTTTCTTCTGCTGAACACAAAACAAGATATTTTGAAGAATGTTGGGAAGCAAAGTTGCCGGTAGCCATTCACTTACATTGTATTTTTTTCCAATGGTTACAAGCAAAGATATTGTGAAGAATGTGGGTAAGCAAACAGTTTCTGGTCCCTATTGACATTGACTGGACCCATTGACCATATTATTTTATTTTCATAATTTCCACGGAAGTCAATGGCTACCAGCAACTGTTTGGAAAATATTTGGGAAAATTTAGGTATTTTTAAGAAGATACTTCCATGGTATTTATTTTATGTCCATACTATGGAAGTCAGTGGCTACCAGCAAAGATATTTTGTAGATATTTTGAAGAATGTGGGTAAGCAAACAGTTGCTGAACTTCCACAGTATTTTATTTCCTTACTATGGAAGTCAATGGCTGCCATCAGCTGTTTGGCTACCAGCATTCTTCAAAATATCTTCTTTTGTGTTCAACACAAGAAAGAAACTCGTACAGGTGTGAGGGTGAGTAAATGATGACATTTTTCATTTTTGGGTGAACCATCCCTTAAAAAGTGAAGTGCCTCAAGTCTTCACCAAATACAATCAAAAAATTAGTTTTCGGACGGGAAAATTGGTTGAATCAATTCTCAGAACAAATGAACTGTTGAACAAGCTACTTTAACTGTCCAGACACTATTACAGCTGCAACATCTGCCGCACACCTCGATAAAAGTCTTTTCTATCCGAGAAGAATTTGCTCGACAGTTCTGGCATGAGTTCTGATCTTGCGTCGACATGTTGGAGTAGGGCGATGAGACAGTTTTAAACACCTGTCCCTCTCTCTCGCAGCGGAACAGACACGACCGCACCAATAATTACAGCTATAAACACCTGAGGGGATCCGACGGGTTTTGATAATTTCCCAAATATTTCCGGCTCCATAAATCGCTGTGCAGATTCGTCCGCAGGCGCTCGCTTCAAAGAGGTTCTCTTATCAATATGTGTATTTCAACACGATTTGGTTTTCTTAAACACGAACTAGCCTCTGGATGAATTAGATGGCAGTGATCGCACCCTGCTTTCTTTGCAGTAGTGAAGTGTGTTGAATATGCCTTCGGTTTTCCAAGGCGAGAAGCCTTCCAGCGGCCCATTGTGTCCTGATTGAAGTGGCAGAATGGGTTAAAGAGCTTTTTCTTAAAGAGGGTGTAATCCGGTGTCTGTTACTTATCGCTGTCAGTCAGAGAGCTGCTCTGGATGGATTATGACACAAAGCCCACGTTCTTCTATTGTGTACTCAAAGACTAAAGGCGGCTTGAACCATGAGCTCATGTCGATCGGGGCTTGTTCGAGAACGCAGGCCCCGCTTTAACTTCAATCAATCGCTTGGTCTTTGGGAATGAAATACACTTGGAGTTTGAATGATAAACATATAAAGGATCCCCGATTACTGTGTAAAATCAACAGCTTAGCTGTGCATTATGGGTAAAGAGATGTCCTTTTCACGCCTCTGAGTTTGAATGCAGTGCACGACTATAATCTATAGTTTCCACTTTTTAGGGACTAAGCACAGTTCTTGAATTTGGACGGTTTTATGGTTTCCGTTCAGCTGGGATGTTTGAAAATAGCATTACGTGATTGTAAAGGACTAAAAAAATCTCTGATTGTGACGTGACCTCCGATCAGGCCGTGGCCCGTAAGACATCTCTGACCCTCGAGGAGCTCGGGAACGCTCACATTCACTGAGCAGCATTGAAGTTAAAAGGATAGTTCACCCAAACATCAAACTTCTATTGACTTAAACACAAAAGAAGATACTTTGAAGAATGTTGGTAACCAAACAGTTGACGGTAGCCATTGTGTTAGAATGGAAAAACAATATGGAAGTCAATGACGACCGGCAAATGCTTTGTTACCAGCATTCTTCAAAATATCTTCTTTTGTGTTTAACACGAGAAAGAAACTCATGCAGGTTTTGTATAACTTGAGGGAGAGTAAATGATGACAGAATGTTCATTTCTGGCTGAACTATCCATTTAAGAAAGACCTGGAAGATACTTCAGAAAGTGAGACATGCTTTCCTTTCACAGACATTCAGAGCCATCATCACTGTACCTACTGATGATTTTCAGATGATGTCCAGTGCATATCCGTATATATCTGTGCACTTTACAGTCGACGATGTTGCCGTCCAAAAACCGTTATCTACAGCTCGATTCTATTCATCTCATAGTTTCAAAAAAACAACCACTACATGTGCAAGAAACATCCCAAAATATGGCGTTACAGCTGTGCAATTACAACTTTATAAGAACATTTTTCAAGAAGGAATTTAACCGCTGTACGAGCTAAACCCTGGATTTAGTTATTGTACGCACATTTTTCTTTATAAATACACTTACATTCATAATTTCCACACAGTCACAATGCCACGGTGAAACACAAATGACAAATAAGACAATGATGTCATGTAACATCATCAAAATGTTTTAGATTTGCCCGTAAAATAATGCGCCATTGATTTGCGGTCAAAGGCATCAGTATGCATGCATGCATGCTCACACGCAAATGCATGCACACAATTAGATATTCCTCATTTGTGACGTGTAAACAATGACTTTAAGGCATCATATGACTTAAAGGACCATGTCTGAATATCCACATATTTTAAAACTGCTTTTCTGAAAAGCACATGCATCGCTGTAAGACTTAACAGATCTAAAGTAATGTATGAAAGTCTACTGAGCTTGAGATTCAAATTGCATCGAGCGGGACTCTCCAGGGCCCTTTTCTCAAGTCCTCTCAGGCTGTAGTGTAATTACAGGCCTGTCTCAAACTAACCAGACCTTCAGCGCGGTTCCCACACACCTGGACACTAGTGATCAAATGCTAGAGGAAGGACAGCAGTGCTGTCAGGAACTTACAGATGGTGAGACGGGTCCGTTCGGTAGATACGGCTCGGGCAGCATCAGGAACGGGTATCCAGAATACGGCGCTTTATACATTCCACCATCTTGATGTCTGGGCACTTGAAGTGAGAAAGCGAGACAGAACAATAAAAGTTGTAAAGTTAGTGAATGTGTAAGGTGCGCAATTACCCCCAAAAAACGAACTTCCACTATAGTAAAGCCCTCATACTGAACGGTTTAGGTTTGTTGTATTTATAGACTCCCTTGTAAATATATAATGATGATCAATCACAGATCCTCTTCAAAGCAGTTTCAGTTCTAGAGTGCAAATAACGGAAACAGATCAAACAGGCTTGAGATAAAAACTGCTTATTTAATGATGCAGATTTCAGGTTTTCCCCAAGAAAAGTCCATCAGTTACATATCAGACCCAGATGAAAGTTTTTAATTTCCCCAATTCAATTTTTATCAGGCTGCCACAGACACATTCTAACACAGAAAGCTAAAATGAGTAGTATTATTTTACTATATTGTCTGATTTAGTACACGTCCGGGGACATATAGCTACTGTCCCAGAACTAAACCACGCAAAGCCACTGGCACAGATTTGTGTAAATAAAGACACACAAACAAGCAGTGCTTGTAGGTGAAGAGTAAAGCAGAATAAAAACTCTCCCATCAAAAAATAAAAACAAAACGCGCATGGTTTGAGGGGAGACTTTACATCATTTTGAGCACTTCTGGGGACTGTCTGTCTGTGTGTGTGTGTGTGTGTGTGTCGTCTCACCGTCGTCCAGATGTTCTCGTTTATCGGTGTAGATTCTCTGATCTTCCTGCTGTCCTCTTCTGATCACCTGCTCATCACAAACACACTTTATTTCATGCACACGACCACACATTCACAGCATCTGCACGCACGCACACACACACACACACACACACACACATGAATGCGCTGACGGGGTCTTACTGCAGAGTTTGAGTTCTGGCTGATCTCGGATTCATTGACCAGAGATGATTTGAGATCAGCCAGGTCGCTCTCCGTAAACGCGCTCTCGCGGATCTTCTCGTGATCTTCTTCATCTTTAAACGGGATCATCTCATCATTCGCCCCGAGATCATCTCCCCCTCCACCGTTCAGCTGCGGCATATTCGAACGAACTTTATTAATGCACTTCTGATTGTTGTCGTCCCTGTTTTCCGCGCTCGGAAGAGCGTTTGAGACTCGCGTGAGAGAGGAAAAGTTCTTTATGATGTGACGATCGCCGCGACTTGAAAGTAACAAACAGTCGCGCTTTAGAACTGCGAAGATCAAAGATACCGACGCGTGATTGACAGCTGCAATGAGCCGAGGGAGGGGTCCGCTCTTAAAGGAACACGACACTCTTTAGTTTCGGGGCTTTTTGATGTAGGACGCACAATCTTAGAAACTATAGGATCCGCACCAAAACAGTTCACGAAAGAATACTTTCAAATAAAATATGTGACCCTGGAACACAAAACAAGTCATGAGGGTCAGTTTTTTTTTTTTAATTGAGATTTATACATCATCTGAAAGCTGAACAAATAAGGATTAAGAGAGGACAATATTTGGCTGAGATACAACTATTTGAAAATCTGGAATCTGAGGGTGCAAAACAATCAAAATATTGAGAAAATCATCTTTAAAGTTGTCCAAATTAAGTTCTTAGCAATGCATATTACTAATCAAAAATTAAGTTTTTGTATATTTACGGTAGGAGATGTACAAAATATCTTCAAGGAACATGATCTTTACTTAATATCCTAATGATTTTTGGTATAAAAGAAAAATCTATAATTTTGACCCATACAATGTATTGTTGGCTATTACTACAAATATACCCCAGCGACTTAACACTGCTTTTGTGCTCCAGGGTCACATATGGAAGACCGGATGTTAATGATGACTAATTGAAATGTTTGAATAATTGAGGTAACTGAAAAATATTTTAGACCAGTCTCAATTAAATTTGGAAACTCGCACTAAAATATTGGAGAGTTTAGCGCGTAAATAATTCTGTTAATTGGGAAAAAATGAACCAAGAGGGAACCCATCATCAAGGAGTTTATTATGTTTTAGCAAACAAGCAATCAGTGTTGGGAAGTAACTAGTTACATGTAACTATATTACGTAATTTAAATACAAAATGAATGTAATTGTAATCAGTTACAGCTACTGAGAAAAAATGTGTAATTAAATTACAGTTACTTAGTAAAATGTTAATGATCACAATGGGGGTTACATCTGAATTTTTTTCACACACATCCACATACAGATTTAATTGATTTCTTTCATAAATTGCAGTGACTGCTCTAAAATATGAGACAGCAATATTTCAGGAGTTTAGGACACAGAATAGGACACATGCTTATTTCATAACTGTTTTATTTCCTACCTGGGTTTATGTATATGCTTTATTTTTTAAGATGAACTGTTTTTCCAAAGCATTGTTAGATGCCAGTCTTTCCTGTCATAGCTATGCAAATATTTGATTTCCAAAACAGTATCATAGCTAGTAAATTATTTCTTGTTATGGTTTTAAATCTGTATTTAACCTCATCTCAAAGTAAAAAGAGGTGCTGAAGTCTGATTTTGTGGCAGCTGTGTTTTAAAATTAAATTATTATAATCTTAATTCAAGTGATGAAGGGTTTTGAAAGTCTGACAGATAACAGGTTTTTGCATGCATTGGAAAAGTATTTGTCCCAAGTATGCAGTCAACATACTTGGAAAACAACAACTAAACATACAGTATATATATATATATATATACACACAGTGCTGGATAGATTATTTGCAAATTGCAGTCTATTACTGATTCCAAATTACATGACAAAAATTGTAGCTGGTAACGTAATCCATTACAGATTTTAGGTAATATAATCAAACTACTTTGATTACTTTTAGATTACTTTTAACCTAACTTGTTTATCACATTGATTTAAATAGGGTAATCTTGTACCATATTGATGTAAAATACAAAGAGAAAGAAAATATATTCCATTTGTTGTTATTAACAATATGAAGTGCATTAAACATTACGTCAAGGTTTCCCAAACTGGAGCTTATGAAGAAATTATAATAATAATAATAAAATCATTAAATCATAAAAAAGCTATTACACTGACTAAAAAGCTATTACATGTTACGGTTACTAATTACCCATATAGGTTACTACACAAAATAAACTTGGTTAGAATTGCACATAAAAACAAAGACTGCAATGTAAAGTGTGACATAACTTTCTTAAATGACACACTTGTGGAATTGTTTGTAAATTATTGAGCAATCACCTTCTTGACTTATTTTTTTAGTTTTCTGCTCTTTTGGTGTTTTGAGTTTTAATTGAAAAAAAGTATGCCTTCCCATGCTGTGCAATAATAATTGAGTCCATTTTCTGTCACGAACTACAGCTGGGAATAAGCATTAAATACAAACAAAAATGTGTCTAGTATTTGCATAAGGCTGCATATTTATACAATATCTTCCATGCATATTAATAAATGGATTAAAAATGGCCTGTTTAATGCATGCAAATCTAAATTATAAATGAGACCTTGTTTATTTGCCTTGATTAAATATAGACAGCTGCTTATCATGGAAGTAGTTTTTCTACATCACTTTCTTAATGATTTCTCAATGTTTTCCTACACTGAGCTCATATTTGCATGCTGTCAGAGAGATAGCGCTCTGGTTTTTACTCTTTGTTTCAGACTGAATAAGTCGGTTTATGTTCTAGTGTCAGATTTAGGGGCTGTTCCTCAGCTGGCCTAGACCATTTCTTTCTCTTTAGCGTTTGTCTTTTGTGTGACTTCAAATGTCAGAGTGTATTTTACCATTTTCTAAGCCACAGGGGCAGGAAACGCAAAGGTAACACGTTGACTGAGCTACTCTTAGAGAGCAAAAGCTGTTGTTACATTTTTGCAATTAACCCTCATGTTGGCTGAAAATGCTAATGTTCCTGCATTGGACTAAAATCAACTAACTTTGCTCACAGAGGGTATAACAACTTCCCCCCCCCCAAAATTGTGATAATTGTTATACTCTTTTGGGATTGTTTTCCACACATTGTTGCACTTGTGCTGTCCTTGTTATGTTCTATTCTTATCAATTATTGGATTCAATCTTTTCATCAACTTGTTTTATTTCAATTAGCACAGGTTTCGTATTTCTTGATTGATCGTAGGCCTCATTGATCTGAGCTTATGCACCTCAGTGTATTCACATCGTCAAAGTTATCCACAAATAATGCTTTTTCACTCAAAAACCGAAAAAGGTAAAAAGAAAAAAAAAAGAGAAAAAAATACTAAACCTGTGTTAATTGAAAGAAAGCAAGTTGATAGAGAGATTGAATCTAATATTTGGTGATAATATTGCATAACCAGAGATTTACAAGCGATTTTTAAAAAGCTGGTCATTTTTGTTTAGGAACATCAAGGATTTTCAGCGCAGCACAAAGGTTAACTGTCTGTTGCTTGTTTGTGGATGAAATAATTCATTTGTGATGGTGCAATAGAAAGGGGCAGTGAGAAATGAATACAATCTCAAATCCTTGTGAATATTTTTTAAAGAGATCATATGATGCGATTTCAATTGTTCCTTTCTCTTTGGAGTGTTACAAGCTCTTGGTGCATAAAGAAGATCTGTAAAGTTGCAAAGACTAAAATAATGTTCTTTTTTAGCAGCATCATATGACCCCTTTAAATAAATTGTACTTTTAGAGACACCATAATATACACCACTAGGGTCGATTTTGGAAGGTGACACATTTGGCAAAGCCAAGAAATAAAACAAGAGGGACAAGTGAGGAAGAGTAAAATGCTGTTTGGGAGCTTTCCAGCTACATTCTGAGTGGAATAAACCCCCACTCTGCCTCATTTCAGTGGCACTGCAAGCTTTGATGGTTTCGAGGATAAATGCAGTTCCTAAAAATTACATGCTGCACTTCCTAAATAATCTCCAGGCACATTTAAGTAGCAAACTAATTAAATCACAACCTTTAACTGAGGTCGAGCCACATTCAAAGGAACAGTTTAACTCAAGTGCACTTGTGTGTTTTATTTGCCGCACCCATACACAACGGTCAGTGCTTTCCTGCCTCAGTGATTGAGAAACATGATGATTGCATTGAAGTTTGGACATTTCAGCACTCTCAAGGCTTAAGGCATCTCCACAATGGTGCTTATGGAGGGTTCACGTGCTGCTGCTGTTGTAATCTCTCTCTCTCTCTCTCTGGCAGGAAACAAAGGGGCTTGTTAATGCAGAGACTTGCCTGAGCCTTTGATGTGAAGCACAACCATTCAAGCCTCGGTGCTTCACTCGCGTAACACACACACAACGCTCGAGACCTGCACTGACACACAAACCGACATTCGACACAGCACGCGCTCATCTGCACACGCGTGCATAACACATTAATGAAAAAGCATAATCTCTCTGCATTCTGCCTGTAAACCGACACGCGGCTTCTATTTTAAGATGCGCGAGATTTGATCGTGCAAAAACGTGCTGCACTGCTGCAGTTTACCTCAGTGGAAAATTCAGTTTATAAATGTTACTTTGTGAGCATTAGCAGAAACATTATTTTCCATCCAATCTCAACTTTTTTTTCCACGAACTTCATGAGGAGATTTCCAAAACGGAAAAAGGGGTTAAAGTAAATCACTAAATCAGGTGCATCTCAACTACTACCCTTACTTTTACAAATGAAAAAAATTGCATTTAGTGAAATTTGCTTCTCCGCTTGTTTGGCTTCAGGATCATGAAGTGGCAACTAGCAGAAAACGTTTTATTGTATAAAAAGACGAAAATTCCTTTGAACATCAAAATGTATTGATGTCATACAACAATAATATGCAAAATACTGTATTAGCATTTGACATTGTTATAAGTGACGGATGAATTTGAAGCAAAAGACTACTGTATGATGGGGCATCGACAACAAAAAGCCATGGGAAGTGTTTCTCCTCCTTCTAAATTGTATTGTTTACCATGCATAATTATAGGGTTAATTGCATTTCATTGTTTGCATGCATAATTTTTCCTCTGCTGTCCATGAACTGATCAGAACAGACTTGAGACCTGTTTTTGAGAGCAACTGATCTCCAAACCTGAGGAGGGAAGTCTTGAAATAAAATGCAACATTTTAATGCCCTTTAAAAGAGCACACATTTTACTATGCAAACATATACATTTGAATAAGTAAAAACGTAGCGGGAGTATATGCCATGTAAGTAATGCATGCACTATTCAGCACATTCATGTCATCCCATTGCACACCACAAAATGATCAAGAAAAGGAAA